TGTATCCATCCAATAAATACCTCCTAGAAGGGAGAAGGTCTCACACCCACTGCGCAGTTTATGTTCGCTACGTCGGACTACTTAATCGATCCGTCCCTAGGTCTTCTCTCTTCTAGGAAGTATTGAACAATCCCTGTTTTCCTGACCTTTGCCTCTGGGGAGTAGGAGGCCTAACGAGAATCCCCCTCCTCAGTATTTATTCAAAAGTATGCTTGTATTTATTTTAACGACCCACTGGCTAAAAGACACAGTCAACTTCGCAAGGTCTGAAGATTGAACTCCGGACGTGTCACGTGCAAATGCTAACAATTAGCCACAAGCCTTGCTGTGTGGTGACTGCTTTGTCGAAACTAGCATACTTTTCATCTAAGAGATTGTGAGATGCTTCAGTTCTCATAAATTGTCTCTTGAATCGATCAAGCTCTCAAAAATTTAAAATACAAAATTTGCGAAACTTAAATAACTTAATTAACAATACAAAATTTTCAAAACTTACAAAATTAAAAAATATTTGTTTTTCCAGAAATTATTCCATAATTCAAGAGAGTCCCATTAAGAAATATATTGTATTTAAAAAAAACTTCACAGAATATGCACGCATAATAAAATATAAATAATTTGATCTAAATATATGTTATGACCAAAATATATGTGTGTTTATTTCCATTAACAACCATCATTATGAAGTTCTTTTTGATCATTTTGTACTATAAATAAATAACTAAATGTCTTATGTTGTTAATTAATTCAATAAATACACGCATAGAGCTTTATAAAGATACGAAGCAATTGGAGAAAATCCAATAGTTAGCAAAAAAAAATTGTAAAGGAGACTTTTTCCTAATAATTAATGAGATATTTTTCCTTTTACCCATTTTATCATTTTGAAGGATTCCTTTATTTTTTGTGAATTTCATCATCTATTTTGTAAATTAAGTAAATTCAAAACTAATGCTTATATTTTTCTTATGTGGCGCCATAGACTCGGGTATTTCTCTCTCTACATGAAACACTTAGTTATTATTTATTTTTATAGGTTGTCTGAAGTAATATTTTAAGTAGTGTTGGAAAAAAATTTATACATTAAGAATTTATTTAGAGTGGTTTTGAATTTTTATGGAAATAAAAACATAGTCACGAAGTAATTGCTTAAATTTTATAATGGCTCTGAATGTTTTAAACCTATATGTAGCTATGAAACCACATTGCTGTCATGTCAATTATTTGTGAAGGAGTTTGTCTTTTTAAAGCAATAGCCTAGGCATGGGCCTTGATATCCTGGTTGGAAAGGCACTGGCCCCATGTCCGAGAGGTTGTGGGTTCGATCCCCGCCGGTGAGCTCATAATTTACCGGTGAGCTCATTAAGCGAAATATAGTATTTAAACTTAGGAAGTTTTAATATCCTTAAAAAATACACTCCAAGTTTGCGCTCCAAAGATCTTTCGATATCGAACAATATATTTTCAATTTGCTCTTTTTTCGTAGTTTCTACATCCTTATTGCTTAGTTACATCATTATACTCTGCAGCAAATTTGTCGCACACTGAAATTGGACCCACAATTTCTCGAATTTTGTGCTCATTTCACTGAATTTAAATTTTTAAATTTAATAAAAAAAAAATCGCAAGTGAACGGAAAAAATACCAAATGAATGGTTTAAATATTGCATATTTCGGTTTAATTAAACAGAATTATGTTGTTGTTTTTTTCATGAACTGAAATGTTATTACCATACAGTACGGCAATTTTCTTCGATTCTTTTTCTCCATGTTGGAGCTAGCGATCGGAAAACTGGTAAGGCTAATTAGATTTGAATTTTCCTGGCACGAGTCTGGGCAGCCATATTAACCTTTTGCCTATTGCGCCTGATAGCACTTGCTATTCCGGACCATCAGTTGTACCAGCCGTAGGCAAAGGGTTAAATGCCGTCAGTGAAGCAAACTACCATCGATTTATTAACCCTTTGAGTGTTAGTCCCCTTTGAGTGTTAACCTTTTGAGTTTTTGCCACAGATTTTCCCGGATCAAAAAATCAGCCTTCCTCTTGTTATTCAACAATAGTGCAGCAATTATATCGTTTCAGTACTGAATTATCCACTGGATTAGCGTTTGGAGGATTGAAAATAAACTACATTAACCATATAAGCAGTTATCACAGCCAATACCTCCTAGAGAAGGAAGCCAGACAAGCCTGTAGTGACGTCATGAATTGGAGGCCATCTTCCTTCCCTATACGAGTGTTTCTTCTATCTGTTTTTGTATTTAAGTAATATTCTTAGCGACGATTTTTGATGAAAATCTTGTTCAAAAGAGGACTTCGATAATTTACATTTTAAAAAAATAGTATTAAAGCGGAAATAAGCAGATTTATTTTGATTTTAATTTTCATAATTATTTGTGAATCTAAACTTACTGAATGTTGCAAATTGTTTTCAAATTTGTGTTCACAAAAATATAAAAATCATGCATTTTTCATATCTAAAGATTTCTTATTTTAGTGACTCTAACTAGTTTTTATTGTACAGTGAGAACAATAAATAAGAGTGTGAATAATTTTTTTAAAAAAAAAGACAACTTATCACAATAAGAGAAACTTTATTTTAAAAATAATTTAAAATTTTAAATATAATTAATTTAAAATATATTTCAATTCTGTTTATACTTTTCTTAAAAAAACAAATTAATAAAACAAACTTTTGAAACATTACAAATATTTAAGGAAGCTTAATTTAATACATACTCTATATATACTCCATACATATGAATAAGCTAATTGAAAAAACAATAGAACATGCCTATAATTTTTTCTTCTTTACTATTTACAAAAAGACATCTAATAAATTGTGAATTTGAGGACATATTTACAACATTCTTAGATTTAACATACTAGTACATCTTGTTTATGGTAAAAAAATAATACAATAAATAAATGCACCTTATCAACTAATGACATTTTTTTCACTTAAGACTTNGTAAACAAAAATATTTACAATTAAACACAGATGAAAATTACATAAATAATAACACATATTATATAGTACTCAAATAGTTATTAAAAATTCAATTTTCCTTCAAGGCAATTAAAAATTTCAAATAATAAATTCAAATGCAAATATATTATTAACACTATTTATTATCAAAGATTAGGTTTAATTATTCGAGCTATCAATTAAAATTAATCCTGAGAAAACATACAATAAAATCCTAAGAAATAAAAGATTTTGATTTTTTGAATACTGTAAATTACAATTATGTTCATAGTTAAATTTACAATTATGTTCTTAAATATGCAATTAATATGTATTATAGCACGTGTGTGCTTTAAAGTTAAGAATAACATGCTATATTTAAATTGTGTTATTAAAAAATGAATAATTATAAATATATATATATATATATATTAAAAATATATATATTATTAAAATAATTTCGAATTACTGCACAAGAATTATGCCTGAATTACAGAATCGAAACAATGCTGTTTAATGGTAGTTCAAACAAGGTCATGAAAGTTTTCCAATAAAATAAAGTAATAATAGGACAAATAAATCAAGATTTCTAAAATCAGTCATACAAAAGTGTTAATATTTATATGAAATAATAGTAGTACTTACCTATGTATGAATGTTCTATTCCGAATGAATGTTGTTTATCTTCTGGTGAAGAAATGGAAATATATAACTATTCCATTTTTTACGATATAAAATACATCTTTTAAGGTTCGAAAAGCAATCTTCCAACTAAATGAAAAATTGTACTAATTAGAGTTAATTACTTTGATTAGCATTACTAAATGTAGCACGTGCTTCGAAAAACACATTCCACAGATTTCATACGAACACACAAGCACGTGGTTGACGTAAAAGCAAGCGAAGCGGCGGAAGCCATCGGTTGATGACGTCACAGCTAATACGAAAAGTAGTTGTCTGGCCTTCTTCTCTAGGAGGTATTGTCACAGCACCCTCATGACAACAGAAATAAGGCAAAACGTTACACAATTTGCATAGCATTGCATAAGGTGTTTTGATTCGATCAATGAAATTTAACCCATCACAAAATTTGTAAACTATAAATCGTTTTTAGTCACTCCCCGCTTTTCATGTGGACGGTACAAAGCAGACGATCGGACGATGTGAAAACCACCCCTAGGATCAGCAGAAGGGGAGATAAGAAATGATAGATTTATGAAGAATTAGAATGCAGAAAGCCTTATCTTTCAATTTATTCTTGTAGAATATAGCATTTCTTTCAATTTGTTTTTGTGGGCTATATATGGATTTATTGAGGAAACGAAACAGTTTCTACCGGGCAGCCTAATTAAATTGCTTTTCTGTGTATGCATAATTGTATCTAATAAACTACGAACAATCGAAAAAGTTAGTAAACTTAAATGCATAGATTGAGTAATAGTTTTTAATAGTTTTACACTGAGTAATAGTTTTTTTAAGCAAAAAATTGCTTTATTTAATAATTATTTAATTTTTTTCAGCACTAAGTTCGAATTTTGGTTTCATCTTGATGACTTATACTGATTGTTTAATAGCATTTTTTTTCTCTTTTAGAAAATGGCTGAAGTAAGAAGACTTTAAAGAAGAAATAAGAAAACAATTAAATATTTCTAAAGTTCCAAATCATTTATATTGTAACGCAAGCATTAAAGACTCCTTTTGGAAGATTCTATTTGAAAAATGCTAGCATTCTGAAATCATATTCAAGAAACATACCTTCCGGCAATTCTAAATATACTTTATACTAGAATAACCAAGATAATCTCACTTTATTTCAAGGAAAAAAATACAACAATATAACAACATATTGTAAAAAAATACAACAACATTTCTTGACAGCAATATTTCCAAAACATCTACAAAAATATCGATAATATACTCACAATTTGTTTTAAAACTTATTTTGTATTTTATATCATTTTATGCTATATGTTTTTATTTATTTATATAAATACAAGAAATATTTGTTTTTAAGAAAATTAGTGATTTTAAACTCTAAAATGGCAAATGAAATATTAAATTTTGAATTCACTTGATGCATATTATAAAGAATTTTATTAAGAATCTTGTGAAGATTTTCGCTTACAATTCTAGAATATGGAGGAATTAGAATGCAGCCACCACTATATTAACTAACAAAAAAAAGGTGCTTATCGAGTTTAAAAAGTTTCCACTTCCGAAAGTATAAAAGAAATGGCTAAAAGTTATGGTCTCGCAACAAATGTTCTAATAATTCAGAAATGCTCCAAACTTTCAAACTTCCTCTCAAAACTGGGAGGAACTTATTAGAGCAGCTTTATCATGCACGTTTATAGAACTCTAATTTACTATATATGTTCGGAATTACAAATTAACTGCCATATTGATTAATTACCATGACTAATGACTAATGACTTGATTATGAAGCTGTGTTTTGGAACATATTAAACGGTTTTGAAGAATTTCACGTTTCTCGAATAAATACTCTATGTTTTCTTTTCAAAAATGAATGATTCACGAACTGTTGAGAATATTACTGATCTGGATGACTATCTATTAAATGATATTAACTTGACTAACTACAAATATCCCTTATCAACGTGGAATGACACAGAAGTGGATTTTAATAATTGCAGCTCAAACAACCTATCCAGTTGCCCCTGGAATGTAACTGATATCGATGACATTAGGTTTGACATTGTTCCACCAGCCAAAGTTTACTGGACATTAGTGATGATACCCCTTCCATTGGTTGCCGTGGTTGGTAACATTTTGGTCATCCTCAGCGTTTACAAAGAAAGAAGTCTACAGTCTGCTACAAACTATTTTATCGTGAGCTTGGCTTTTGCTGATCTTCTGGTGGCAGCAGTTGTAATGCCCTTCGCTGTCTACGTGCTGGTAAGTCGTTATACAAACCTATCTGTATACATAAGTCTAGTTCTTCATCTGTATAACTTATACAGAGCCGTGATATCTCAGGGGATAGAGCGTTCGTCCTCCAATGAGGTGAACCGGGGTTCGATACCGGCGATGGCTGATCGATACGAATTCCGCATCCGGCTTGCACCGATCACAGTGCTGACGTGAAATATCCTTAGTGGTAGACGGATCATGGGTTAGGACGGATGATGGGACGGATCATGGTTCTCTTGCCGTCAGGCTAACCGTGGAAGGTTCTCGTAGTCTTCCTCTCCATATAACATCAAAAGCGAGTTAGTTCCATCAGAAAGTCCTCCACGAAGACAACATTTCTCCCAATACTTGATCCAGAAGTTCCCTTGCCTTCTGGATTGGGTTCAAAATTACAAGGCTACGGAGTTGAACATTAGTTGTCGTAAACTCGAAATTTGGATCGACTATAAAATAAAAATGTAAAACATATAAGTTTGCCATTTATTTTAGTTTTTCGAACGCAATCTCTGCGAAGTTCTGATAATTAAAACGTTCCACGTTTCACGTTTAAGAAACGTGGGTTTAATAGGGAGTGATCTGTTGTTGTCGTGTATTTACGTCACTTGCCAATACCAGCAAAATCAAGTGAATTTTTAAGACAGAGGGTGCGTTTCTTGTTTTTTTAGTGGCGAAGTGTTCATCCACACACACGTCACAGGGGGAATCCTATCATAGTCCATTCGTTCATCCTCAGAAAGTAATTTTGACCTGAACCAGAGAACGATGAATCTCCAGTTCAGTACTCTCAGAGGTATTGATTTGTTATGGGAACTTGGAGGATTTTGTGACCACGACATCTTGAACGTGTACCAGTGCCCAGTTAATAAACGGGGATTCTTTGGCAGTCTGGATTCGAACTGTTAATCCGTTTTCACGAAGACGAGTCCAACGTCCTGACAACCAGGCTAGTTATCTTTTAAAAAAATGAAATCTTTCGTTAATAAAAGAATAAGATCTGAGTGTATTGAATTAATAATTCATAGAAAGTAGAGCGGAAAGAAATAATATTTGATAACTTTAAAACCTCGCTTCGTTCAAAAGTTAAAAAGGTCGGAAGAAAAAACTCTATATTCGTTGATGCTTTTTGGCTATTGCATTTTTTTTCTGTTTTGTTTTTCACCTTTATTTATTTTCCGTTTCTTCATTAGCAACTTTACATTTTCTGTTTCAAATCTGTTTTATTTTCCTCATACACGTCTGGTGGATTTTGAGAAAAGGCGCTACTTTCTGAACGACTAAAACATACCAACTTTTTTCACTTTTGAAATTTTTGAAGCAAATCAAGTTATTTCATGTTAACGTAAAGCAAGAGTTCGTTTATTTTCAAACTGAGAAGAACTTATTTTGATGATAGATGCAATTGTTTACTCTAACAGTTCAAAAAAATGACTTATTTATAATATTCGACCTTTTACACATTCTAAAATTGCACAGCATTATGTTGCTCCTCTTTAACGACTAAGCTTTCCAAAATGGAATGTGCGGCCTGATAGTGTTCCATTTACCATTGTTTAAATGACAATTACCACTAAACAGCAAATGAAAAGAACACAGTTCCTTTTCATCATGCCAAGAATAAAATTCAAGGCTTGTTTCATTTTTTACAAAATATTATGCACTGTCAGAAATTTCTCGGATAAAATGGCTAACAATCTATTTAATTGTTATTTTACCATATTTACGCAAAACCGGTAAATAACCATAAATAAGATGTTAATCAAACTATTAACAGTTAGGAATAACATTTATTAAATTTTTTTTACCTAAAACTGCTAAATAACCAGAATTTTATGGCATCAACTAAGCGAATGAAGCAACTTAGTTCCTTGCAACAGCTACATACTTCAGCCGAGAGGACAAATTTGTCAATCTCATGTCCACAGAACTAGGTTTCAAATCCCAGCGTTGACACCTTCATTCCCTTCAACACATGAAGGAGCTTACTGTGTCCTGTACTCTCTGATGCCCATTACCTAGCGAGAAACATAGCTCCTATGTCCAGTTAAATTTGTTTTCTTACGGTAATGAGACATAGCAGCTGTAATTGGCAAAAGCAACTTAGTTCATTGCAACATCGTACATACTACAGCCGAGAGGACAAATATGTCAATCTCATGACCACAGGACGAGGTTTCAAATCCCAGCGTTGACACCTTCATTCCCTTTAACACATGAAGGAGCTTACTGTGTCCTGCACTCTCTAATGCCCATTACCTAGCGAGAAGCCTAGCTCCTATGTCCAGTTAAATTTGCTTTCTTACGGTAATGAGTCATGATAGCTGTAAATGGTTAAAAACCGTATAGTTTGGTATTCATGGTCTTATAAACATACCAGTTGTAAACGGTTTCAAAACCGTAAAGGTGAAAAATATTCTTTTCCGCAAACTTTAGGGTTAATCGGAAGGACAGACTGTTGCCGGTTATTTCACCATAATTTTAAAATAAAATTCTAATAGTGTGGATTTGGTAAGTGATGAATTTTTGATAGCTACCGATTCGTTGCTTTACATGCATTGGATATTTCGAGACGTGTGAAACATTATATCATTCGCATTTTCTTTAAACTTGATAGATTCCTAAACTGAATCATAAAAACGTAGTTTTTAAACTTGATTATAATACTATGGTTCAATTTACGAGGAAACAGAATCCAGCTTAACATTTCTTAAATCTGCAGCAAAATTAAACCGATTTCGCTGAGAGTGTGATACCAAAAATACACCAAATAAAAGCGAGCAAATCAATGTGAAAGGCTGAGCTATCAAAATACAAAATAGAACGTTACCCCACCACCTTCACACATAGTGTCTTTGCATCTAAAACACATCATTTACAAGTATGAAATAGAACCATTTGTTTGAAGAAATATCAGTTTTAAATTCAGAGTTTTAAATTCATCTAAAATAATACGTGAAAGCATTTTCTTAGTTGTAAGTCATTTTGATTATAAAATAGAGTAGACATTTTGATTATAAAATAGATTATAAAATAGAGAATAAAATATTGAAATGCAAGTCCGAGGATTAGCTCAATACATTGTTATTACGAGGTGATGTTATATGCATTGATGTTATTTACATTGCGCCAGGATTAGCTCCATTTTCTAAGAAGATCAAATCGTGACGTATTCAAGCCAGCAAGAATTGTTTCTTGCAAAAATGTTTTTTTTTCTTTTTTAAACTAAAGTGTACACGGAAGAGCCATTACCCTTCATCTATAACAATGGGATCGCCCAGGTTTTCATAGTTTCTCGCCCAGGAACAATGTTTTCATCGGCTCATTAGGACCCATAATCCTCGCAGAACAATCCCTGACGTCTGTAAACTACTTGAACATAGTTGCAGACCAGGTTCACCCATTCATGGCAACAGTTTTTCCTGCGGAGGATGGTGTTTTCCAACAGGATAATGCACCATGACAAAAGGGTCGAATCGTCATGGATTGGTTCGAGGAACATTCCAGTGACTTTTAAGTCATGTCTTGGCCTCCAAATTCACCTGACCTTAATCCAATAGAGCATTTGTGGTCCTACTTGGAAAACCAAATCCTTGCTGCCACGCTTCCCCCTCGCAATGTGAGGTAATTGCAGGACCAGTTGGTGAGAGCTTGGTACCAGATACATCAGACTACCTATCAGCACCTTGTGGAATCAATGCCACGGCGGGTGCTAGCAGTTTTGAGGGCTAAGGGTGGTCCTACATGTTATTAGCAGGGTGGTCATAATGTAATGGCTCTTCGGTGTATAACTCTGAATAACAGTCAGTATATAACATGTATAACATTGAAAAACAGTTCAAAATGCGTATTTTTAGAATAGAATTTATGTAACAATGTGCAGGGTTATCAATGCTTGTTTTAAGAGCTCCCTCGTCTTCTGAGCATTCTGAAATCATAATAATCGCTCAAATTAATAATAATCGCTCAAAATTAAAAGGCTACAAAGTTGAACGTTGGCAATTGCGAATTCAATATGGATTGGTTATACCCGGCCAGTAATAAGATTAAATGACGTTCAGGAATGCCACATATAATTAAGTATGACTAATATAAAATATAGCTCAAATGATGAGTCATTTATGAAAAAAAACATATTTACGATTAATTTACTTGAGAACAAAAGCAATAGTACTACTGAAAAACTTATGGAATTTAAAAGGTGTGCAGTTTTCAAACCTCAGTTGAAAAGGATGGAAAAGAAAAACGCAATTAAACTGGAGCTAATTGGCGCGAATTTCTATTATCTTAATACAATAACAATTAACCCAAATAAATACGTTTAAACACTTCCTTCGACAGAAATTACTTTATTTAAAAGTACGGGCAATTATCGCTTTACTAATATGTTTTTATTCAATTTGTTGACTAATTTAGGGAATAGCATTGTAGCAATATTTTTTTCTCGAATCCTTTCATGTGTGAAACCTGTTGTTCAATTATTCACATCGGTAATTGCTACACTATAAATAAATGTACCGGTTTACCATTTTGGTTTACCATTTTAAGCGGCTTTATCGCAAAAATTGAGTTCTTTCGCTCAATCTTAGACACTATTTTTGAAAGAAATAAAGGAAAGGATTCTTTATTTCGAGATTTTATTACTTTACTACGTACTAAGAAAAAGAGTATGGTTAAAACTATCCAAATACGATAAAATTTACCGTTTCTCCTTGCTTTATGGCAGCATCAAAAAGCAAGGTAGTTTTTGCCGAAGCGATTTGGTTTTGACTTCTGGTAAAATTAACAATAAAATATGGTGTTTACCATGCTTTTTGGTAGTAAATGTCATAAAATTTGCTACTTTTTTTATGATTTACTAGAACATGGCATAAAAAACATGTATACGGTAAAATTTATTTTTCAGTTTTGCATGTTTACTAAATGTGTGGTAATAAGAACTATAATGTGGTAATAAGAACTAAAGTTTCCCGTAAGTGGTTACCATGTGA